GGACAAAACAAAAGGACATTGGACATACAGAAATTGGTCAGGCTGTCAGTGAGAATTTAGAAAGGGGACGTAATGCAAGACAACATTAATTAGCTTCAAAGAAATGACAATGAGAGATCACAAGGTTGAAGAGTATATTTAATGTACTTGTACTTCAAATGACTTTCAACGGAATACAACAAAAATACTAGTGAAGAAGATCAGTAAATCTCATACAGACAAAACTCTGTTCTAGATCAACAACTAGTTGTGTTGTCAATGCAGAAACCTATGTCACTCTATGTCAGAGGACTGGTGATAGGTGCAACATCATAAGCACTACATTGGGTACCTTAACTTCTGTGTACTGTAAAGCTGTGCGAGAACATGCAAATGCACAGATGTGTCATACTGATAGCATTATTTTTGTTAGCAGTAGTACAGCAGCAGTATTTGCAGCAGTGGGGCCCCAATGTGCTAGCTAGGCAAGGAACAAAACACACAAGATGACATAGCACCTGCCCTAGAGGTTATATTATCTAAGAACTTGATCCAGAAAAGCAGTGAGGGATGAATGATCCACCTTACAGATACTGATTAATAACACGTAATAATCTGTAGGAGAAAGTGGAAGCAATAGGGAAAAAGAGGAGAAACAAGCAGAGGTTGGGGAAGGCAAGAGACAATAGAGGAGGAGCAACAAAGACACAAATGTGAGGCGGTAGAAAAAATAAGGCGGCTGCTATCTTCTATCGAAATATGGGAGGGAACCTGAAAACTACTGGATACAGAAAACTGAGGAAGGGACAGAACAGAGGAGTCATGGAAGGGATAAAAAGGCTAATTTTGTTTAATAACTCACTTAGCTTTCATTCCTAAAAAAATAAAGGATTAATAATTTACTGGCCATGAGCCTGTACTGTAAGATGTACAGTGGTCATTATTTCTTATGCAGTCAGTTCCAAAATCATAACTTTCCAAGGTATCAGCATGGCTACTGACCTGTCAGAAAACAATTTCCTGATCTTTCCCCTAAATTTGCAGTATATGTTATTCATTCCTGGTGCTTTGATCTAGTTGGCAACTAGAAATCCAATGTCTTTAGTTTCCTGTACTTGAATCTCACAGAAAATCACCTAAATTCTGAGGATTCATTTTTTTTCCTAACGCTCATGTATGTTCATACTGGAGGACCTGGTTTACAGCAATCAGTCCAAAAGAAAGTTATAAATTTAGCTAAACCCTCTTCAACTGGGGAGTGTAAAAGCCTCTTTTATTCCAGTTAAACAAAAAAAAAATAGTGTCTCCGAGACAAAGGCACAGTCAAAGTTATTTATGAATTTGAATAACTAGGTCACAGAAGGGTTTAGATTGCCATTGTTTGGATATAGAGGTTTGAGTGAGAGAAAGACGTTTGGATAATAAGACAAAAGGAGCATAAAGGAGGCAGTCTGAAGTAGCAGCCGGTGGAATAACTTTGTGAGCTTTTGGATGGTGCTGGCAGAAATAGGTTTGGTGCTGTGAGCAAGGAAATGACCTTCTCCTATTATGCAGTTTCCTCCTGTGTTCAGAGAAACAAGACTTTGTGGATTCTTTGTGAAACAACAAGGCTGCATTAGAGAAAATATCAGACCCTGTTTTCAGTGTCTCATTGCCAAGTAGAAAAACATACAAAACCTACACATAAAACATACAAGACAAAATTTGGCTAGCCACTCAGGTCATAAAGGGTGCAATAAAGTGGGAGAATGAATTATCCTAGGTGTTTTGCAAAAGTATTATAGAGTGCCCATAGTCCAAAGAGCACATAATCATTTCCTGAAATTTGCAGGAAATCTTGTTTGCTGTCACCATTAGGCTGGATTCCAAAAGACAGCAGCAGAGACTGCAACATAGAAGTTCTCATCAGAGAAGCAGCCTACTTTCATCATTACAATAGAGATAAATCATCAGTTCTTCTGCTTAGATACATGGGGGAAGATGTTGCACTTAACATGAGCTGGGATTTTAACTTCCAAAACAGAAATAAATAAGTGGGCAATGAAGATTCAGATCTGTCACAAAGAGGCAATCTGTCACTAACAAAAGGAAGCAAAACTTTTGTCAGATTTACATTTAGCTATCATTTTCTATATATCGCTTAAATTTATTTTCAGAGGAAAAGACAGGCAGTGAAAAAGCTTTGAATATGTCCCTGACATACTTTTAATACACAATACCAGAGTCAAAGAATCCTGATGTTACATACAAGTCATACAAAACAAATCAAGGATGTACCATAATTAAACATAAACTTTATAGCCAATGGACCCTGAGTGCATTTAAGAGTGGAAGAAGTCAGAGCATCTCTTTCAGAGATATGTTCTTATGAGAACTTCAAGTGTTAGATAAGCACCTAAATCTCTTGAACACTAATCTAAACTTGACTATACTTAAGCAATAGCAATGAATCCAAGATTAGGCATATAACCTTTGAGAGTGTTTACATTTTTATACTCCTCTGGTAATTTCCTTCTATGAATGATGATCACCTTCAGAGTGTGTGTGTGTTTGTGTGCGACAGATTTTCTATTTTGAATAAAAACCTAAGTTTAAAAAATTCCATAGAAAAATAAAAATTTAAAATTCAGAATTTCATATAAAAATTTGAAAAAAATGGTTTGGATCAAGCCAAATATTTCAATAAAATTGAAATGTTTCATTCTGATTTTGACCTTTTAAAATGTTTAACTGTTTTTATTTTAAAAAAACAGTGAATTTTGCTTTTAAAGTTCAAATGTTCTATTCCATTCTAGAATAGTGATAGAAATGTTGCCGTGTTAGTGTGATGTAGCTGAAACAAAAAACAGGACTATGTAGCACTTTAAAGAGCTACATAGTCCTGTTTTTTATTCCATTCTAGTTCAATATTGTCAAAATTCTATATTTTCCTTTTAGAAAAAATGTCAAAATCAACTCTTTACAATCACTTTTGTTTCAATACAATAGCATTTTAAATCAAAACAGCAATATGCTGAAATTTTTCTGTCTGGCCTCAACTGTGTATGAACTCCTGATAATGCAATATTGCTCTTAAATATACCTACATCGCTTGGGGATATAGTCCTGATTAAACAATTTAAACAGAAAATATGATTTACACAGTACCATCAAGCACTGAGTTGGGTGATCTGCAGAGCAATCTACTATCCATGTGACAAATGGTGTCCGAATCTGGCCTAGATAGACTAGCTATTTTGGGAATACAAATAAAATTAATAATATTAAGTTCTTACATCAGTTCACATTTCCAAAACACTCTACAATAGCCTCATGAAATTTCACATACTAAAATGAAAAATATGTTGTAGGGAA